AATATAGACTTTGCTTCATATTGATAACTGCTTTGTAGTTTTAGATCTCTATTTAAATGGCAAAAACTTGTGTCCTTTTTAAAAATACCAAATACAGCCTTTTTATTTTTTTCTCTTGTAATAACACTAAAGAACATTGTTACTACCTCAGATTTTAGACTCACTGCATCTGAGGTTTTAGGATTGAATTTACCCATTAGCCCTCTGAGTAACACAGTAAAGTTGATATATTTTTAAGTCTTGCATCAGTCATTAAAAGAAAATAAGATCAAGTTTCAATAATCATGAGAATCTAACATGTCATTATCCCTAGTACAGGCCTAGTCCTTTTTTCTCCTTTGAATTTAACCCTGATTTTCTTCCTCATTCTTGCAGGGTGCATCTGAGAAAGATATCGTCCATTCTGGTCTGGCATACACAATGGAGCGCTCTGCCCGGGTAAATACCACGTTAAGAAAGTGTCCTTGTAGGACAAGGACAACTTAAGGGGCTTTGCAACAGTAGCAGAGCATGTTGTGCAGAATTTCCTTCCACCAAAAGGAGTGGATAAACAGTTCATGGTAACGGACGTCACTGCCCGATGCCTGCGGGCATGGCCAGCTGGGCACCAGCAGACACTCGTTACAGACTAACACACAAAATCAGAAAGTAATTTCTAGTAGAAGCTGTAGTAATTAGAAATATATTCACTGGCCTCTTGTGCTTAAGTGATGCGGGACAAACAGCGGAGAGAGCTTTACTTGGCCATCACCGCGTTCACATTGATCCCTTTGCACAGTACTTTTAGCTGGTGGGACAGAGGCGAGTGAAATTTACTGTCTGCCCCTATATTTGGGTACGGATTGATCTAAGATCAAAAAGGAGCAATGGGGAAGTCTAGGAAAGATTTTCGCATCTCAGATATAAGGGGAAATAAGAAATCTTAGACTTGATCCTCCGAAGCTCTAAACTCTCATATCAGTCCAGGGCTGTTACACTCCTGCCAAGATCCCCTAAGAAAAAGCTAGTGTAGCTCAAATGAAGAAACTTGCAGAAATCTTATATAAACTTCTTGTGTTTCAGCAAATCATGCGCACTGCCATGAAGTACAACTTGGGGCTGGACCTGAGAACAGCTGCCTATGTCAATGCAATTGAGAAGGTCTTCAAAGTGTACAATGAGGCTGGGCTGACCTTCACATAAACAGGCCCTTCCTGCTCCTTATTGTATCCCATCCTTATTGCCGTTCATGTACCCTTTTCTTGAAAAAGCTTATCACAAGTTTACATGTAACCACAAAAATTTCTTTTCTTCTGACATTATAGCGGATTCTATTCTCAATTAGTTTCAGTCCAAACTAGTTTTTTTTATATAATAAAATCCATGAATTAGGATATTGTATACAAACATATACCCGAAGATAACCATTCATCTGCACTTGTGGGGGCCATTCTGGGTATTTCGCCTACAAAAACAAAATGGTACATTTTATGTATGGAAGACTGGCCTCACCACCTGGGCCACTACTCAAACTTCAGATCAGATACTGTACTACATGAGCGTTTGGCTCACTGTTACTTCATGCACTTTTGTTTAATTATGTAATTTTGGCTTTGGCACTTTCAGTAAGGCCTTGTATGATCAATGCCGTGGCATTGTCAGAGGAAGAATGGGCCTCCAGCAGGGATTAACTTTGATAGGAATCTAATTTTTATTTGTTGTAAAGCTTCAGGCCCAATTCCCTTTAGGCAGTGTTTTTTCTTTAACTGTGCTGCTGTTATAGGACTGCTTAAATTGCTTGTTCAAGCTAGCTTGACTATCACAATGAAATACATAGAGAAGTGACAGAAAGTAGTATTTTTATAAGCTGGAACAGGCAATTCTAATGTGGTTATGTTTTTAATCAAGTATCTATGTAACTATTCTGACTATAGGTTTGGGTTTTGTTTTGTTTTTTTTTTGTAAGGGATGGTCTGAATTCGATAAGTAATCCTACTCTAAATTTTTGACATCGTTTTCATTCTTTTCCTTTCTGAAAATTAGTTACTGTCGCAGTGAATGACTAAAGTGAAACTGCACCCAGAAATAGCTGGCCGAACTACACAGGAGCTAAAATGCTGCTATATGAACTTAATCCACTGTCTTAACACACAGCCTTATTTTTGCCTTCTCTCTCTCTCTCTTTTTTTTTTTTTCTGTCATGTGGAGGTCTTGAATGTTTTGAATATGTTCAAGTACAACAAAATGGATCTTGACACAATTTTGGATCAAGCACAGGTTTTAAAGCTTAAGGCGTTTGTCCAGTGGAGTCCCATTGAAGTGCCAGGTGTTATTTATGTAATGAATATGAATGTTTTTTTTTAAAACGGCCACTAGTCCCTCCCAGAAACTCATACTTTTTTTCTAACTACTTTGTAACTGCATGACATAACCTGGTGGGAAGAGCAGTTATTAAAAAAAAAAAAAAAAGTTGACCTTTCCAAACCTACGACGCTGGTGTATTACTGTTTCGTATTTCATATACTAGGAGCTTTTGGTAACTACTGAATGTTCACAGCACCCATATTTATCATTACATGACTACTGATAACATACACTGAATTATCACAAGGTTCTCACTAAGCACCTTTTTATCTCACGAGCTTGCCTGTTAACAAGACTGCAGAAGCTGGCTGTGTCTGGTAAATCATTCCAGGTTGCTGCTGCATCTCTGGAAGGAATTTGTGTGAAAAAGAACTATTTTAGTAGTTAACGTGGAGTTAACGTGGAGTAGTTAACGTGCATCACATATGCTGAAACACAGGGTTAGAGCAGTACTTTCAGCGGACTATGTGCAGTGTGTTTTTGCTGCCTTATATTTCAAAAACAAAAATTCATTTGAGCTTGAAAAAGTTACTGTCGGCAGAGTGTGGTTCTCTAGACAAAAGAGCTGTCTCTTGGATCGTACCTTTCAGTAGAGTTTTTACATAAACACTTGCGGGGTAGCAGAGTGAAATTGGAGGAAGGGCTGTATGCCCCTGGCGAACCGCGGCCTCCTTCCAGCAGGATTCGCGGACGGCAGCGCTGCAGCGAGCAGCTGCACCGCGCAGAGCAGCGAGACTGCCGAACGCTCAGCTGGGCCGGGGCTGCGGCCGCGCGGGGACGGCTGAACTAACAGCAGCGCCAACAGGGAAGGGACTCGGCCCCCGGACTGCACGGCTCACCTGGAGCCCCATCCGCTGCCCTTTCCACTCCTTCCAACCGGTACTGGAGCGGCCCCAGTTTGACTAGACACAGATGGAAAACAGGACCCCTTTCAGTGTTGAAGCACCCTTAAAATTCTATGGACAGCTTGCATAGTCAGCCAGCTGGGATTTCTCTTACCCACTACTATAGAAGAAGAAATACAAAAGCTGCAAGGTGCCAAAGCTAAATTTCCCATTTCATAGGCATCATGTAATCTCATAACTACCTGGTAAGGCTTGTTTCCCCAGAACTGGCTGAGGGAAAGCCCATAGTGTGGCTGCATCTCCCCTTGTGCAACTTGTGGTAACATTTACTGACCTCTGAACAGCACCCACGCAGGAGCCCTGCAAGCATCAACCTGAGCATAACTACAGGCCTAGCACAGAGGGGGGGCGGGCAGTGCTGCCCGTCAGAGGCCTCAGGCCCCGAGAGGACGGCCACGCACGCAGAGCACGGCAGCGCCCCCGCCCCTAGACAAGACCAGACCGCGGCAGCGCGTCCACGTGGCAACAGATGCTCCCAGCCTGCTGGGGACGCCGCTGTGGCCGAGTATGACGGCACTGCCTGCTAGTCTTGGTCCTAGTCCTTGCCTACTCCAGGCAAGTCAAAAATGAAAGCACGTGTTCCGCATCGTGTTTTGTAACGCCTCTTAGGTGCACCTAGGTAAAGCAACGCACACAGAGAGGAAAGGGAAAAACAAACAAACAAACAAACAAAAAAAAACTATAGAGTTTCACACGGCTCTGCTAGGAGTTAATCTAGCTTCAGGATCAGGACGTGCAGAGTGTAAAACAGCTCAAGCTTTTTCCTAACCACTGCCAAGAAAGCAGGGTAGGAGGAAGGCTGACATAACCCACCCCATGCAGCCACGATGAGGTTTCCGGATCCAGCTTCCCTCCCGGCACACGTACACGCATGGGGTTTGGTGCTGTGGTTAACCCCTGACGGCACCGCACGGGTTGGGTGCTGTGGTTAACCCCTCACGTGCCCCACACAGGTTTGGCGCTGTGGTTAACCCCTCAGGGGCACCGCTCGCAGTCATGCACTCGCCCCGATCCTCCCCGGCAAACACGGCAGAGCGTTTGCAAGAGTCAGTCAATACCCGCTGCTAGACCTGAGCAGGGAAGGAGGCTGCTCTGCCCCCCAGCCAGGCACCGTGTGGCTGTGGAGCCACGCACACGGTCACACCGGCACCTTGGACCGTTTGCACTGGACCCTGGTGACTGCCGCTGACCTTCAGCAGGCTGAAAGCGCAGCCTATAGGGCTGCCTGCCTCCTGCAAACTGCTACACGCACAAGTATTTACCACGCAGAAGTACAAGCACAACAAGGATTTGCCTTTTTCCCAGGCCCGAAATGACTTCAACACTGCCTCAGTGCCCATGTTTGAGAGGAGCCAGACGCCAGCTTGAGCCCAAACATGGCGGTGCCACGGGGTTTAAATGTGCCTTAAACGGAGCCACAGCCTCACGTGCACAACCGGCAGCTGCAGCATCGTGTCCCAGACCAGCAGCACGAGCGCGGGGCAGGCGCAGAGCTGCAGCACCCCCAAGACCCAGCAGCAAGGGCTCGGGTCAGGACTCACACCCAGGAGCGCAACTCGGGCACAGCAACAGAGCAGGAGCGGGGGCCCCGGAGCGATCCCAGGCCCCCCACGAGCTCGGCTCAGACGTTGGCCGCGCTCGGCTGCGTCAGCCGCACAGCACAACCGCCACCGCCTGCTCCATGGAACGCGGGCAGCAGGTGTATTCCATGTACGTACAAGCAAACGGGTCCTCAAGAAGACTTGCAAGTCAAGTAGATTTTAAGGTTTTTTTTATTATTTAAGAGTACATGTCATAGAAACAAACATTTCAGTAGTGTTACATTATCTTATCTTCACTGTCCAAAGCTTTTTCGCCAGGCAGTGGCTTGATTTGCCACATTTTTTACGGCTTTCTCACCACTTTCAGCCACTTTGCAGACTTCATCAAGAGCTTTAAAACAGGAGAAGGAAAAAAAAAAGAAAAAAAAAAGTAACTATAGCATGACTGTTAGATGGCACCAGTATTTTAGCAGTAGCAGGTGCAAGCGGTCTCAAAGGAAAAGGGATGGGAGAGACTGAAGTGCTGGAGGAAGACACACAGCCTTGGTGGCTTTTCACAGGTCAGCCGGGCCCGCGGCCGCAGGAGCTGAGGGTCACACATGACACTGCTGCTCATGCCCAGGCCTTGGGGACAGAGGTGTCACAGCCAGGGGCCGGTGGCCTCTTGCAAGATGAGGGGGCCGGAGGAGGTGGCGGCAGAGGAGGATCTGCCCGGGGTTGCCCTGACGGGACACGGCTGCCGTGAGCAGAAGCGCTATGTACCTTTCTGGCCTGCATCCTTGGCCTGGTCCACTACCTGCTGCACAGTCTGGCCTGCTGTGTTAACTGGAATTAGAAAAAGAAGCGTAAAATAAGGAGTCACCTTTACCCTTCCCCAAACTCAGTAATCACATTTTAGGAGGAACCTCTGAACATCTCAGTACTTGAAGAAAAGTTAGTCCTTAAGATTGGGCGCCTCAATGCAGCAGCAGAGAGATGGTATGAGGGCCTTGGTTGTCACTCCCCACTTCACCTGCATCATTCAGGTATCAGCAAACAGGCCCTAACAGAGAAACAGGGGCAGTGACCTCTCCTTTTACTGATGCTTAGGCAGCTTTGTGGGAAAAGAGTCTCCCTGCAGCAGCACCGAGCCAGCTGCTGTGGAGCACCATACTGGGACCAGCACACAGAAACTTAGCTTTCTCTCTTAGCTAGAAAAACGTACATATTGATTCATTAAGAAGCTAAGGCAGATGTAAAGGTATGGAGGAAGTATTCAGTACAGGAGACAGCGATGGCATGAAGTCCAGCACCGCAGCCACCCGACCAGCTCCTCACAAGGTGCGTCGTGAGCGTTGCACAAGCGGCACCTGCTTAAGGCAGACACCACTTCAGTGCACAGGGAGTGACTAAAGCCTCTTAGTCCCCCAGGCCCGAGTCAAAGGGCTCTTGTACAAGAGCTGTTTCATAAGGGCTGTCTCGTAACCCTGCTGCATGTTGTACTGTGCATTTGTAAGACACTTCTTACAGCTTAGAAAATGCCTTAATTATCATCATGCATCATCTTCTGATGTAGTTTAGTAATTGGTGAGTGGCATATGCTGATCATAAGGCATGGGCAAGGAAAATGCCATTCCTATTGCTCCAAGTTCAGAAAGGCTCTCTGGCCTTTCTGGAGCTCTGGGAGAGGTGCTGGTGTTAGACGCTTGCAAGGACCAGTTGTGCCACTCTGGGGACGGCAGTGGTTCCTGGGACTAAGCCTCAAGGCACACACAGCACCACGGCAGCAGCTCAGTGACTCTGTAATTCACAGTCTTGCTCTAGTATGAGAGCTGGTCTAAGCCCCATGTTTGTTTGGATTCAAACAGCAATTTGGGGGGCACCACGTGTCAGCACATCCAGGCAGTGTGTAGTACAGGACGCTCAGTTGTGTGTGTCCAGCATCACATGCTGTTTATTTACTGACATGCATATCCTATGGGCAGCACTCAGGAGCGCATGGAAAGCCTCTTACTTATTTCTATTATTCCTGGAAGGAGAAGAAACACCGAAGCTCAGCCCATCGTCACTCAGGGATGGCAGAAGTGAGGCCAGTGCCCATGATCTGGCTGGTGTCTCAGGTGTGCAGTGGCACCCAGAGCCAGGCCGGCTGCACACGCTTGGCGAGGAAGGGCAAGGCTACAAGGCTGCTCGGGGCCGGGGACTCTTAAACCCTTGTTCCTGCCAGCTGCACACCGAGAAGGCTGTGCAGCTCCTTCTAGACGACAAACGGCACCTGGAAAACACACAGGTGATCTTCCAGCATAGGAAACAACAAATAATGTTCCTCAACATAAAGAATATAGACGACTCCACAAAAATACAGTTTTGTAGGGCTGTACATCAACACAGAAAAGAGTCCTTTTTAAAAACTTACTAAAAAAAAAAATAGAGTGATTACATGCAACTGCTGAAGACTGGTTGTTTGGATATCCTCCAAGCTTCAGGATAAAGGTGGTTAATTTAAGAAACCACCCACAAGCTTTGGAAAAGGAAATAGTGGGGGGATGGTTTGGGGGCTTTCATCCTTCTAGCTAAGAGCAATAGTAAATAAGCAGGAGCCTTTGGCTTATCACATCAAGTGCTGCCTATAGGATTCACATGTGGCGAAAGGGTGGAACGCAAACAAGAAGGAAGCAGGTGCCCAGCAGGCATCTCGCAAGTTACATTTCTGCTGTGTTTGAAGTCACAGACAAATGCCTGGTTTCAAGACTTAACCTAGAAGTTGCGTAAAGGAATAGGAGACACCGTCTCAGCCACTCACACATTACACTAAGGGCACTAAGGGATGTTTCAGGAATCGCATCAGTTAAAGAAATCTGTTTGGGTTGGAGCTTCCTTAGCAGCAGCTCATCCCAGGAGCATGTTATTTAAATTCAGAACAGATTCCCAGAGCGTCTCCAAGGCAGAGCCCCAGGATGACGCTGGGGCTTTTGGCAGGATAAGCAGCTCCAAGCACAGCGGGGGGCTGGAGCAAACGAGCCACAGCGGGATGTGCTGCAGGGGTCTGAGCAGGACGAGGGGCTCAGAGGGCTTCAGGGAGCTTGTTACACAAATGCTTGTAATGACCATGGCCACCCGAAGGTATAGTTTTGTACTTCATGTGCATTTTCTTTATATATATATATAGCCGAGCGGGGATACATCTTCAGACTGGATATATCTGGATGTATCTTCAGGCTCCCCTCTCAGCTTTCTGGGGCCCTCTTGTCCCTTCCATGCATCATTTAGACACTCCCACATAAAAGCCAGGGTGCTGTAGGAAGCTACTATCTAACATTAGTTCCTCCTTTACTATATCATTAGGGGGGTTCAGGCTTGCCCAACACACAGCCACGCTGCAGGAGAACTGCTGTAAGGTAGAGCTTGGGCAGAGGAGCGATCTGCTCCAAGCTGCCAGACCGAAGCCTGCTGGGGCCGAGAGCAGCGCGTGCACTTTTTGGACGCCGGAGAGAAGCACGCTGAGGGAGAGCGGGGGCTGGCACTCACCCGCCGCCTGCGCCGCCTGCTCCACTTGCTGCGTGGCTTCCTCGGCGAGTTTCCTCCCGATGCCGAACATGGTGCCTCTGCCTTCCCTCCCGGCCGGCGACGGGCGAGCGGGTCCTGTGCTTGGTTCTGCTATGATGTTCTCCAAAGTGCAGCTTTTTATAGGCAGAGCCCAACTCCTCCCAGGAGTTGCAGGGCAAACGTGAACAGGGAAAAGCCAGGAGCCCTTGTTGGGTGATTAATACACGATGCATAAAAGGGTGAGGAGGCCGTAGCGGTTATTATGTTTTCCTCCCCAGAGGGAGGGCGTGTTTGTGATCGGCACAAGTTTCCACGGCTTTTGGAACCAAAGCTTTGTTTTTCCCATGCCGAGAAGCTGGAAAGCAGCTCACATTCCTGGGCTGCCCTCGCGAGGCCTCCGCGGCGGGAGCGGCTCCAGCGGCACGGCCCATCCTGACCCGGCCGCCGGCATCACAGCCCAAAACACGCAGCTGCAGCACTGCCGAAACCCGCTTCGGCATTTCAAAACCTTACATAGAAAAGTATCCCGTTTCAGAGGGTTCTTGCCCAAACTATTTTTTTGCCCCAGGCAGAATTAAAGTTTGTAGTTAAAAAAAGAACTGGGAGGAGTTCATCCTCCTCCTTTCAACCAGCCAGTAACCACGGACGATTGCATTGCCCGGAGGAAGCCAACTCCGCATGAGCCTGGCGCACGTTTTAACCCCGCACGTGTGGGGTGAGAGACGGGTCCTGCCTTGCCCTCCTCCCCGAGGAGCCCCTCGCACTGGGCTCAGCCCCCAGTGCTGCACCAAGGTGGGTGCCCTTGGCCACACACGGGTCTCCACATGCATTGGGACCAGCTCGCCACCGCGTTAGCCGATAACCAAGCAGCCAACGCAGAGCTGCTCCCACTGCGGCCATTCCAGCTACCCCGGACTCCTTCAGACCTCGCATGCATCATGGCAGGGCTCTACCAGAGAGATGAACATACGGCCCACCTCCAGGCACAGGACTTGGACTCACATTCATCTCCTGCCTTTGGTGGGCACTGGAGCAGGCTTGAGAGAAACCTCTCCTTATTCCAGTCCTTGCACACGAGGGATGACAGCAGCTTCCCCTCCCAGCATTCCAGCCACAACTCGCCCTTCTCCCAGCCTTTGTGTTTCCAGCCAGTCACAAAGTCCCGCTCTACATCAGTCCAGTGCAACATGGGGCAGCAAGGGCGATTTCACAATGTTTTGGCTCCTTACAAAAGAGGAGAGGCTGCTCACTGTTTTTTTACAGGTAAACTATTCCATGTACAGATAAGAGGAAAAAACAGATTTTGGTTTTCAACTGAAGCCCTACTCAACATCAAGTCCCGAGCAGTCGACAATATTTGGAAGAGACCAGAGGTGCAGCAGAAATACTTCACACACCACAGAACAACCCTTGCCCCTTGGAGAAGCAGCGGCGGGTCCAACCTGCGGTGCCTTGTGGTGCCGTTCCCAGCCACGCACACCAGGACGTTCCCACTTGCGCATCCGGCAGCTCCAAGGCGCCCACCAGCCGTGTTCCACCTGCCCACGGCTCCCACACAAGCACGGCGGCACCACTCAACTGGCAGGGGAGGCCAAGAAATATCAAGTCAGATCACACACCCAGAAAGGCGCTCCAAATACACTGGGATGTAAGGTGGCACTAGCATTGCTAGGATGATACCCACATGTAGAGAAGAGATAGCGTTTACCTCACAGAAGCCACAGCATTAAAAAACACTACATCTTTCCAACATAATAAACACCTACTTTCAGATAAGAAGCACAGAAACAAGCTGAAAATACTCAGAGGTTTGTAGACAGCAGGGTTTTAACCACACACATGTAACTCAGTCCTGGCCCTGGCTCCCACCCAAAAAACACCCACCACAAAAAAAGCAGGAGAATCACCCCTTTCCTACCTGCTGCCATAGCTGACAACATTCAAGATGCCAACAAAAGAGAACTGGTACAAGAACCCAGCAAGCTCTCCTCATGGACTGCTTTGTAGCCACCAACCCAGCACAGGTGCAGGCAGCTCCTGTACCAGCTGCTTCCACTTCAGCCTGGCCTCGTTACTGCCCGTGGGGCACAGCTGCTGCCTGAGGTGCCCAGAGGAGAGCAGGCACCTTTGGGGATATGGAGAGCGCAGGTTTGGGTGCAGCTGCTGCCATCTCCAGTGCTGGGGGACCTGGGGAAGGGGTTGTCAGCATGTCCCAATCTATGTCCCCTGCCGCTGCTCCTGGCCACAGGGCCAGAGCAGTTGGTTTACCTGATGTCTCTGCAGGTCACACGCAGCAGCAGCAAACATATCTTTTACACCCTGTCCTGCTTTCCCAGGAAGCTCTTTCTGGATTCTTAAATCAAACATGAGGGTTAGAAAATTTCAGTGGAAAAGCTGCACTTGGCTGGAGCAGGTCACGGAGTTGTAAAGGAAAGGAAAAAGAAACTTAAGAGTTCTACTGAAGAGGAAGCAGTAGCTGCTCTCAAGAGTAGGTGGTTGGGATGAGATCCGTGGTAGGCAGCTGCCTGCCCGAAAGCAAGAGGGAAGCTGGGAGGGCTGTGTGAATGTGTGTGCATGCTGC